CGCGGAATCACGACAGCGCACGAGCACGTAACGGAGCCCCCAGCCTATTGCCAAGTCCTTCACCCTCACCTCCTTGCGCCTGTCCGGAAACTGCCCGGGAAGTCGCCCCGACGAGACCCTCCCAGGAGCAACACGCCCCATTCATGCGCAGGAATTTGTTCCAGTCAAATGAATGCCCCAAACTATGTCTGCAAGTCTGTTGCAAACAACCTGTCTCAGCGGCGCCCAAGTCAATTCAACAAGTCACAATTGGTGAAAACCGAACAATTCTGGTCTGCTGAGCTCTGCGTTCAAATGCTTGTTGGCTGCGAATATCATGGCCTGACAAACCCAGCAAATGTTGCAAGGGAGTCTTGTTTTTGCTGTGCAACAGATCACGACCAACCGCTTGCTTGCTGCATCCGCGTTTGTCCGCATTTATGGGAATGTTGGCATGCCCCTGCGTTCGGCTCTTGGAGGCCTGAAGCCAGAGTCAAAGGATCAAAAAGGCAGCTGCCAACGTGTGCTTGGTGTGTGTGTGTGTGCGTCTCCTTTGCGCGGTTTGTTTGAGCTTCAGGCTAGAGTTTGAGATCACTTGCAAAGCTTTCAGCCTGGCAGCGCAGCAAAATCCACAACATACGGAAATCACCTGAATAGCCGCAATGTCGCACGCAGAGCTCCAGCAATCCACGTCGCAGTCAACCAGCATTCGCGAGCCCATTTGTCCAGCAACCAAAAAAGGAACGTTTTGGTGTTGACCCCGTTTCGTGGCGAACACACGGAACAAAAGTGGGACGGAACAACTGGACGAGCGCTGCCCGAAAAGGGCATCCTCGAGATCTGGTCACATCGGCCATTGCGCGTGCCTGCTTGGACTGCTGACTCTCACGCGCCAGGTGTTCATTGCTCATATGAGGGTAAACTATTTCTCTTCCGGTGTGGTTGATGCAGGATGATCTGATGCTCTGGAGAGGAATAGTTTCACGCTCTGGCCCTAAGACATTGCGAATCAGCGTGGACCGCCGAGTCATTGGGAGTGCTATCTGGATGGACAGAGGTCTGTGCAAAAGGGCTCTGTGCTTGGGACTGTCCCCCTACTAAGCTGAAGCTACCCAGGTTATGATTGTGGCTCATGTCACCAGACATGGAAAACATAGAACACACACACACCAGGGTGGCATCTCAGGGAAAAAACGGCAATGAGTTGAGGGCGTTAAAAGCGGGCTTCTACAAAGAGCATCGCAGGATTGGTGTTTATTTTGGTTGGGTTTTGGTTTTGGGCAGGCTTGATCTAATGGAGAGATTGTCTGAGAAATGTTTCTTGTTTGGTTGTTTTGCTTCTTTGGTCTCGTCCCTTTGCTTTCTCGATGCTTTCTGTTCTTTTGGAAACCCCAGAATACAGTAGAACTGCAAAGACAAACATATTCATACATAGCTCAAAACAACAAAAAAGCACACAATTTGCACAGGTCCAAAAAACAAGAAAAATGGACTGCACAGTCCCCTCTTCTATTTCAGTACGCGTTTGCATCCCGCACAAATGAAAACCGAGTCATTTCTACATCAGGCATGTCAGTTCAGTGTGCAATGGGGCAATCGATCCCCTTGAGACACACCCAGGAATTCAACTTTGGGTTCTGGCTCCGCAGTTCCCAGCGATCCCTATCTGCCAGAACTTCAAAAGATCCAGCAACACAGTCCGTGCACTTTTGGACACACCACCACTCAAGCTTGATGGATCTCAAATTGTAAGCAGCTCTCGCCAAACCAAAGCATTGATGAGATCAGAGCTCGACACAATCAAACTCACCAAAGCAAGCATAGCCACCGTGGCCGAAACGATCCGAACCCAGACTGGCCGGGTAGAGCTTTCTCTGGATCCCCAGCTGTGTTGTTGAGGGCTGTGGGGTTTGTACCCACAGGTAGACATTGGAAAAGTTTCAATGCATTCTCGAGTTCTCGTCAGATTCGCGGGTTCTCGGGTTGTCGGATTCTCGGGTCTCGGATTTTGGGGGTTCTCGGATTGTCGTTTTCTCGAGTTCTCGGGTTCTCAGGTTCTCGGGTTCCATTGCCAAGTGCGCTCTGAAAGATGCACACTGGTTTGGGCCTGTCTCTGTTTAAGGGAATCCTCAGAACAAGTGTGTCTCCATGATACTTAAACATGGAGCGAATGAGATGACCCATCAACAAACGGATTCTTGCTTGTGTGGAAGTTATCCACTTGAATGATTGAAATCAAAAGGCCTCTGGCCCGGGCAAGCTCATGTCAGCTGGCAGCTCACCAAAGCCGACCTCACGCTCAAGCCTGGCACTTCCCAGTGAGGCCAGCTTCACCTTGAGAACAGCCGAAAACTTGGCTGAAACGCTGAAACGGAGAGAGGGAGTAGCTTCCAGCTGAGCCTCGACTCCATCGCCCGTTTTCCAGGCTCTTCGTGCCGTCGGGCTGCGCGCAAGTTTAAAGATTGATCCTCATGGGCCACGGAGAAAACTGGCTGGAAGGCCAGGTTGGCTGAGGGTTTAACAGGGCTCCCATGGGATTTCCAGCAAAGCATCGCTGTGCCAAACCAACGGCTCCAGGGTCAAGAACTTGGCCCCCTTAGCATTGGAGGCACCATAAAAAAAGGTTGGTCCCGTTGCCTAAGCCGCGCCGTCGCCTTTGAGCGGCTCGAAGCGCGCTATGGTACCAAGCGCGCTGGCGTCGCGTCAGGGGGCTCTTCGTCAGCGCTCGGCTGTATCCGGGCCATGTCGAAGTGCCCCGGCGGGAACAGCGTGTAGTCCCAGCTCCGGATGTCGCACAGGAAAGTGGGCTCAAACTTCAACAGCTCGGCCAATCTTCCCACGCCTCGCACCGGCTGGGCCTGCAGACGCAACTTGGCCTCCAGCGCATGTTGGTCCACAGCCGGGTGCTTCCTGTGCGGAGTCCCGTACTTGCAGTAGAGGACACGTCCTCCCAGGGCAGGCGCTCCATGAACGGGCGGGTTTTGAGCAGCTCGATGACCCACATCGTGGTGATGTTGATCATTCGAAAAATTGCTGCCGAGACTGCTGCAGCTGTTTTGCGGCATCCACGCACTGTGCGGGGAGATTGCGCGGGCAGCAATGGCAGAGCTCGCGGCGCAGACCGACCTCGAATGATCCGTCTCGGCCGAAAAAAGAAGCCGTCTTGACCCGAAAAATACGATCCGAGTAGTAAGGAAAGGCAGCTTATAGGGACCCAATTATTTGGGTTTTTTTTGCTAAACACCCCCAAAACTGCATAATTTTCAACCAGCTGAACTCGTCACCAGCGATGTCACCGCTTCGTCGCCGCTCCGTTTTTGGTGCAAAAAGCGCTCAAAACGGCCAACTCCGAAAAGTTCATTTTTTCGTGTCAGACGTCAAATGTGGTGCCTGAGCCTCCAAATTCGCTCGTTTTCGGTCGAAATCGGGCTCCAGACGTTCGCCGTGCTCTGAAGTCCGTTTTCTGCCCGGAAAAGCCCGCTGAGCTTGTCACCGTTCGCCTCCGCTTTGTCACCGCTCGCTTTTGGGTCGAAAAAGTGCGCAAAAGCGGCCCAGTTCAACTCGTTCTTCGCAGGCTTTTCCGCGGCCCGACAGCCCGCCAAGGACCTGGCTCGGAGCGCGGCAGCCCGCTGAGGTTTCGGCCTCGGCACGTCATGCGGGCTTGACACCACTGATGTTACCGCTCCGTCTGGCTCCGCTTTTGGTGCAAAAAGCGCTCAAAACGGCCAACTCTGAAAAGTCTGTTTTTCGTGTCCGTCGGCAAGTGGGATGCCTGAGCCTCAAGTTTCGCTCGTTTTCGGTCGAAAGCAGGCTCCAGACACTCACTTTGCTCAGGATTCCCTTCCGCCCGGAAAACAGGCGAATTCCATCCCGCCGAGCGCTCCACGTCACTGGGCCGGCCTATGATCTGCGGAGGCGGCTGCGCCTGGCCCGGACGGGGCAGCACGTTCAGGCGCACGTACTCAGCTGCGTCCTGGGGCAGCTGAGAGCGGAAGGCCTGCGCGGCTGCGAGCCCCGCGGCCCCTGCGCCTATGAGGTCCGCTGCCGCCTGCGCGCCGTCTGCAGTGCTGCGCAGACGGTCCGTGATGGAGGGCGGCCCCTGCCCGTTGCTGGCCAGCGCGCCGGCCTCGGGGTCTCCCGCCAGGTCATCCTCAACAAAGCGGGTTCCGCCGTAGCCCTGGTACCTCCGCGCCAGCCGCACGTCCTCGTCCGTGGCCTCTGCGGGAGTGCGGAAGCCGTCCTCGGGAATTGCCT